TATATAGCCTTATACGGCATTTATATTGCAATAGTTTTTTTCATCTTAACACATTGTCTTGTATAGAATAGCATATATTTAGTAGTGTTTGTAGTTGGGTGGTTTATTATAGTTAGAGTATAATACAGACTAAACTACTTATGTAAGTAGATAAATGTAAGTTCGTAAGTTAGAACACACACAACTAGTTACTACACATTGAGGGGGCATAATGGGTGGCAAAAAAACGTGATTTGCTGTGAATTGTGTACAGTCTAAACAAAACACAGTCTTTACAAAGTGGAGGTGGAAAAAGAAAAGCAGCAATTCAAAGACACAACTCCCAGATCTATGGGGACAATCGTCTAGGCTAGTTGGTATATTATAAATGCAATATACGATATGAAACAGAATTGTGATAATGCGAATGTAGTTTAGTATAGTCTATGATTGGGGTATTGGGTTTAACGCTAGGGTTTTGAGAATGATTTTTTGTTGGATTCAAACACATAAGTATGGCATGTAAAATTAGTACTCATAAAAAAGTTTCCAATTGCCAAATTTAGTATACAAATAAAAAATGTACTTTATAACTTTGGTATACACATGAAAATAACGGTATAAACTAAACCAAACAAATCAAAATTTTCGAGTTTTAAATTCTTTTGTCGTTTACTTCTGTACAATTTGCTACAAGCTTTATTTTTACATTTTTCTTTGTTTTTGTTATATTTTTATTTTTGTGCTTTACTTTGTTCTTAAGACCAATTGGGTTTTTAATCCTCTTCTCTTTTCTCTTCAACTTGAGGTCATATTTTGACCAAGTTTTTGGGAACTGTTTGTGTGATATTTCTGAAGTAGGACTTGTGGGATATTTTAAATTAATTTTGAAAAATAAAGTTGTGTAGAAAATTCATATTCAGTTAACAATAAATAACCAAGTGTTAGTTAATATGAGCACGCTGATGATTTATAATGTGTACGCATGAGTTTAAAAAAAAGTGGTTAAAGGTCTGGTAACTGTATTCATAATTAGTTGGCTTAGTTTTGAAGTTGGGGTATTGGTTCATATGGGGGAGGTATAAGCTTAAAAATTGTAATTTTCAAAAAGATAAAAGTAAGCAAAGCTTTAAAAACGAGTTTACTTATTTGATAAGTGAAATATGATTAGATATTAATTTGTTGGCAGTCCATATTGTTAAAATGCTGAAATGCTGTTTATATCATATTAGTATAAAGTTTAAAATAAAAAGTTATTTGTATGGTATAAACAGCCTTTACAGAAAATAAATAAAAGTATTTATGAAACTAAAAAATATCTTTAAAAGTCTTAGTTTGATATCAGTTATTAAATTGCCTTGCCTTATCCATGTTCTTTAACCTACCTTTGGAAGTTCTGGCGCTTTACGTAATTCTCCCGCACAAATTCAATAATTTGTTTTTGCGTTTTGCCGCTGTAGCTGTAAATTTAAGATGAGTTGAGAAAAGTACTTCTGTAATTGAACATTTAGCCCATACCGAAAAGAGCTGCCGCGTGAGAGCACACGAGTTTTGCGCCTGGGCGTGCTCTGCACAGTCGTACACCGAAAGAAACCATGATTCTCGACGCACTTCTTCCAGAAGTTTTTGCACTCATTGCGACCTTCGAAGAAGAACTCGACGGTGTCCTTATAGTAGCCCTGCAAGAGTGTAAAATATAATTAATAAGGCAGCCTAATTATATAACTTTTAGACTTACGTAGCCCTCGGGATGAAGCTTGACCAGAAAACGTTTGCGTTTGAAGGATATCTTGCGTATCTTGGCCCACGAGAAGGTATTAATACGCGTTATATTCTGAAACACGGTAATACCCATGTGCGCTACGGCTAGGTTTAGCGGCACGCCCTCCACATCCTTGGCCGGGTGCATTTTCATGCCATAAAGTTCACAGCGACGCGCTGTCTCCAGCAAATTTAGGTCAGCCTCAGCAGGCGATTGGCCGCTGCACAAAGCAAATGTGAAATGTGTTAACACAATCTTTATATAATATGGATTATACAGCTTACAAGTGCTTCTTGTGATTCTCCATAATCTTCCGTTGCATGGTCGCATCCTGGTGCGGCACAAAACGATAGGATGACAAATACGTGTGATCTGGATAATCCTCGGGCACATAGTCGCCACACGATGCCTGCACTATGTAGCTGGCCATGAGGGCCGCGGTATTGTCATTGCACTGCAGGCTGCCCGTGGCCAAATCGCGTTTGATTTGCAAACAGAACAGGTATCTATGAGAAGTAAAAAAAAAATTTATTTTGTAAACAACTTTTCGTGGAATATACACTTTTAGCAGTTACCTGGTATATTCCTCCTCCAGCTGTGCCGGATCTGGCGTATAGAATTTGATACAGAATCGTAGCACAGGATCGATGAGAGATAGGCCCACTTGACGGTTCATCGGCTTCTCTAGATCCAGCCAATATTTGGTATGTGTGGATATTTCCTGATACTCCAGACCAAAATAGTCCGCCTCCAGCAGGTTAAGCTGTCTACAGACTTGCTCAAAGAGTACGCGGCCCAAGGCCTTGGCCTGTCAAAAGAAGAAGAATCAAATTAAGTAGCCATAAAATTAAGTGAGATTCAACTGAATTGGAAAATCTTTTTGGTAAATTATAGCCCTTGAAATTTTAGAGACCTTTAGCATACGTTCGCATTTCCTTACTTTGCAATTCTAAGTTGCTCTGCAAAGTTATGTGAAATGTTATAAGAATGCTCGCTTAACTCTGGAGAACATATTTAAAAACTTGGCAACGGTGCCACAAATCTGAGCGCCACATAAATCAACAGCCACGACGCGTCGTTGGCCTAGCTCTTTGTCTTGCTGTTGTCTGCCACACGCCATTAGGGTTGATTAAAAATGCCATTAGATAGCGTTAAATAATAAATATGTATTTGCTGCTGCTGCTGCTGCTGCTTTTTTTTTTAGGAATTTGCACTGCACTCGAATTGCAGTGACCCCCAGTTCGTTTGCTTTTCGCTCAATTTGGCAGCGGACAAAGATCTGAACGACCTACATTTTATCTTAACTTAATTGCAGCCAGAGACGAGATGCCTAGGCAGCCAAGTGGCCCAGTTATCAGGCGGGCAGCAGTAGCTGGGGCGAGGCGACAACTCAATTGAAATTTATTTAAATGCAATCAAACGGCCAGCGCCCACAAGCCAATTGACGGCGTGTGCTAACGCTCGAATGTACGCGGATTTAATGTTTAACAAACTTAACGAGCTTAGTCTGCGCAATTGCATTCGTCACGCCCTTAAGCCCACAACCAGAATAAGCTGAGTAAATTGTGCATAAAATTGATGGAAAAACATTTGTTTTCTAAAATATTCAACACTCTGGCAACGCCAGCATCAAATATTCAACTGACAGTCAAAAGAGTAAATAGATTATACCACAATTTAACAAGCTGCGTTTGCATAAATTATATTCTTAAGCCTTTTGATTTATTCAGAATATATAAGTCTATAGTCTAGCCAGAATTTCAATCTAAATCAATGGTTCGATTCACTTGGCTTGATAATAAAATATAATATAGGCCTAAATACAAATAATACGCCACAATCAAAAGCAAATAACTCATGTCTTTTATATTTAACAAAAATTTTATTTGTATAAATTCCAAGCAGTTCTTGCTTACATAGTTAAAACACGCGCTTGACTTTTAATCACCTAGCAAAATATATAAATTTCTTAAGTTTTCATCTATTTACACACCCACCACAAATCGGTTGAAATGAAGATTTCATCAACAAGGGCTTATTAATGATCCATTCACTGGCAACACCTATTGTCCTTGGGATGTCCTTCAGTTCGCAAATACGTTAAGTGGCAAACACATGTCTAGATTAAAGCCATCTGGCTTACACACAAACACACTTATGCTAATTTTGGGCTATGGCAACCACAGCAAGGACACGAGTGCCACTCCATGTCCTGAGCAGCTGCTACACCTTTGCACCATTAGGCAAATGGAAATGTTATTGACATTCCTGCAGAGTATATACATATGCCGGGGAACCGTTGAGAATAAATGAAGAAAACAACTGCAAAGTCTGTTTCCAACAGGCAATCAGGCAAAGTGCCCTGGCGAACAGTTCTTCGATATTTACAGTTGACTTTGGTCAGTTCAGAGGACGTGACAAAACGTAATTAAAATTTTAGCTAGCCTACAGTTTTCTATTTTTATTTTGATATTTAAATATTTATGGTTGATTTTGGTAATTTAGTAAAATGGCTTTTGGGTGCGGTCAGGATATAGGTCTAAATATTTGTTTGTGAAAAATATGAGCAATTTAATTAAAATGTATCTGTCAAATCCGCATGCTCCAAAAACACAACGTCATAAGCCATAGCCAAATGCTATTCGTCCCCTTTCTTTTTTAATTGAAATGAGAGCTGAAAGCAAACAACGAGTTCAACTAAAACAATGAAATAACAAACAATGTGCCGACACAAAGGAATAGCTGATGCATTTTTTATGAGTAAAGAGAACGACGAAAATAAAAATAAAAATGAAAATAGAATAGTAGAAAAGTTGCGCAGAATTTTATTTTTTATTTTTTGTTGGGTTTTAAGGTCGATTGGGAATTTTGTGGGGAAGTGCGATGCATTCAAAATGTGAACACAAACTCTGATTTATTATGTAAAAGGTTTGAAAACTTCAGCCATCAATTGTTGCAACTGGAGTATATTTATGGACTGTGCTTTTAACATAAATGTGAGTGAGATACGGTGACTAGCTCCAAATGATTTATAAATTACAGCCAGTAGCTCCGACTGAAAATGCTGATAATTAATTTTCTGGAATTCGTATAGGGAAAAAATATAGATTGTAGTTCATGTAAGTGGCAACTCTCAGCTGGTATAGTAATTAAGCTTCAACAGGCATAGTTTAATGATTATCAAGTGGAATGCTAAGAATTAGTTCCTTCAAATTCAGAATCTTTTAAGAAAAGTACTTAAAAAAGAACTGTAGGCTAGACTAATCATAATTACAATATATTTGTTAGCATTTTCATTTCATTATGAAATCTATTTAAAGTAATGCTTTTCTCTGTAGTTTATAATTGGATTTGCCAAGCGTTGATAACTTGCTGCCCACAATTTGGCAACATCGTTTGCGGCTGCAAAAGCATAATTTAATTGCCGTTTGTTATTACAGCTAAACAATGAATTCCCTTCCGAATGCAGTCAGAAAACAATTTGGGAAATTTGAGGAAATCTCATTTCACTGCGGCTCCACCACTGGGACCAGCCTTCTGGCACTATAGTTTCAACTAATTGTCAGACTATAGTTAAATTTGCACAAGTTTTTCACAATAACTGAAGCATATTTAATTTAATTTCAGCAAACAACAGGAGCGCAAAAAAAGGAACAAGGATAACAATGGAGAGAAGCTTTTTGTTGAAGGCAGATTGTACGGGTTTTCCCATGAGAGAATCTGCTCCAGAAACTGCAGTGGCTGTCGGAGGTGGAGCAGCGGGGGAAGCAGGCAACAGCAGCAACAATGGCTCCAAAAACCACGCCCGAACTTTGACATTTTGCCTGCAGATGGCAATGGGCGGCATTTTATCTATGTCTAGCATGGTAGGCCAATTCACTAAGCCAATTTGGGACTTTCAGCAGCTACAATCAGCCAATTAGCTTCGGGCGCAGCTACGGCACATGGTAAAGGAAGATGGCGAAAAATCACAGGAATACCTACCGAATGCAAACAACAGAGAGAGAGAGAGAGAGAGAGAGACACACAGAAATAGATGCAAAAGGCAGCTGCCTCACTATCCTGCAGGTGTTTTCTCCTGGGGGGTACTAGCCCCTGCAATCTAACTGCAATGCTTTCCGCCTTTTGTTCTTTTATCAGCCAAGAGACACTCGTACACACACAGTTGTTGTTTGCCCATTGAAACAGCTGCCGGGCGCAATAAATTTGTAGTTATGCGGGCGCCTGTAACCAGAAACCTAATGGAGAAGTTTATGAAAGCTGCCAACGGAAATCACTAAGTGCACAAGGGCTTCAGGATTTGTCATTTAATGTTTGAAAGGAAACGATAAGCTGCTTACTATAACATTCAACAAAAGCTGCATGCTATGAAACTCGGCCTTTCTATGTACATATAAATAGCATTATTCTTTAAATATATTAAGCCAATTTGGAACAATTTATTTATAGATAACAGTGGAAAGTGCTTGAAGCTAGCAAGTTCAACCTTTTGCATTAGTTTCTCTTGCTTCGACAATCCATTTTATTCGTGAATACTTAATTCAATTTGGTAAACTTAATGCACCAAAGAGCATGCATTTCCCTTAGCTACTCTTGCCATCAAGTGCAGTGAAAAGCCTTTTCCAGTACCTGCAAATAAATCCTATTTATAGTTGAGAAGTTGCCTCAAAGCACCTGCCAACGAAATGTGACCTGCAATCGCATCAATCTTCAGACTGAAACTGCTGCCAAATGGAAGCCAAGCATAAAATGAAATTGCATTAATATATAGAAGCATGCGCCCTGTTTCCTCTCCTTCCCTTCATACATATATATATATAACTCGAAATTTGTATAGTAATGTATAATTGTATATAAGGGAGTCTGGGCAACGGTACATTCTGCAAACACGCATAAGAGATTAATGCGACAAGTGGAGCGCAGCAGAGAAGGGGATTGAGAGCGGAGCCTGTGGCTGGCGCTGGGACCTGTGCTTGGGCGTGGCAGGGCATTCACATTTTCTGGCTGGCAGCCAAAATGTATTCCGGCCTAACAAGAGCACAACAAACAGGCAGCCAGCCAACAGCTGAGGCAATACACAGAAGCTGCCGACAAATCAACAAATTTTCCGTCTCAGCCCCCCTCCACAGTCCCCACGGCAGCTTGCGCCAACCCCAGACAGACCTGGTTTGAGAGGTGTTGCGGATGCTGCCAACTCCAAAAATAAAAGTTTGTTTTTTTCTACTTTGAATTGTGTCTATGCTCACTATACACAGAAAATGGAAAAAGAGAGTGCGAGAGAACACTTTTTAAACAGATATGATATATCAATATATTCTAGATTAGCATATTGATATTGATTCTGGTTTTTATCCACAAATTGAATTCACCATTTTCAACGAACGGAAGTTATTGAAGTAAGGTTTTCTATGAGGACTAACTTTTAGTTTTTCTCTTTTTTGACTCAAGTATTGCTTGTTTCATTTTTCCTAGCCTACTCTGTGGTTCATTTGAGGTCCACGAACTGTAACCAACACACACACACTTAAACATGTGCCCGATTGTTGTAAATGTAGTTGTTGTTATTTGACTGCATTTGACCACAAATCACATTAATACAAACACACAGCCGCTGTCCTGCTCCTGGTTTTCTTTTTTGCTGTGTTGCTTTTTCCTTTTTGCTCAATGTGTTTCCAGTCTTGTTGGGCTTTGTTAATGGGTTTTCTAGTTGCTTTTGTTGTTCCACTTCCTGGCTCCATTAGCCCAGCAGCTAGCCAAGCAAAAGGCTTACTCGGTTTTTAGTTGAAGTGGCCACGCCCTGGCTGGCCCCCCTTGGCCCCTTTCTGCCCTGGCAAACTTACGGCAGACACACATTTCAAAGGTTTCGCTCACTTCAACATGGCGTGGCAAAAAGAATGCTGGATAAAATGTTGCAACAACAAAATGGCTCCTGTTAGTCACACCATTGTTATACCCTTTACGCTAGCCGTATTGGGTATGCTAGACAGGAAGCAGAACCTTGTGGAAATATGTCTGATAACGAATAAATTCTGATTACTGATTAAATCATATGCCAACCTTAGCAATTCTATATAGAATTGCAATTCAACTTATATTATATTTTAAGGTCTATACAATATACATAATATAGGGTATATAGTTCGTATATAGTCTAGTGACTCAAGTTTAGCGGCACACTTAAGCTGTTGTTGCGGCTGCTGTCGGCATTGTTGTGCGGATATGCGTTGTTGGTGTGTTGGTGTTTGTGAGTGGGTTGTTTGGCTTGGTTTAAGAGTAAATCCTTGTGAACCAGTTGCACTTGAGGCGCTGCTGCTGCTGCTGTTGCTGCTGGTAGTTTTGCAAATGTTGAGCGCTTTTTAAAGTGCCACACAAAAAAAAACATTTTATGGCAACGATGGCCCCGGCTCGAACTGCTGATGGCACCCCCGCATCTCAGTTTAAAAACGCCCAGTGCGGACTTATTAAAAATTGAAGCACGTAACAAATTTGTGTGCCAGCAAAGCGCAAGTATACTGTATGTAATATCTCCTCAGGCCCGCGCACACACTGCGTATACGTAACGCCGCTTGTGCAATCGAATGAATGAGGGCTGCAGCTTTATAAATAGATTCACCCCCAAAGCATATTCTGCACTCAGTTGCCAACCACAATCAACCACAGCTTGCATTTTGCAATATCACTTTGTGGTCGTGGCAATTTATGCACCGTTAACTAAGCGCCAGTGTGGTCAAGAGCATTATGTGTAAATAGGGTTGATCGGGTTGATAGTATGGATAGTTTGATGCATGGACACCCATTGTATGCCAGAGTCAAAACTAGTCATTCATGGTTATGCAACTGGTAGCATAAAGAACTTTTATGACTGTGCATGTTTATACCTATGTGTATATAGCCCTAACTGGCAACAAATATTATCTTTAGTAAAGCACACAAGTGCTTACATACCTAATTTCAAAGCTCTGCTGCCCAACGACCTTGAGTTCATACAGATAGTAATATTTAATTCATATCGTTAAATAATAAATTTCAGCTGTCCATCTCTCATGCTGCTAAGCTACGATTACAGGGTATTGTTGGCCTTCCAAATGCCCTGCGGCTTCATATTTTATTCTGGTGGGTCAGCAAAACGACAACCGCATATTTTGTGAACTATTCTATGTAAGACCTTAAAAAATGTAAAGTATTTTAACATTGCTGCATAACTCTAGAGCTCTTATGCAACATATACATAGTGTCTGTCTTAAGAACCAATTTTTGTTTTCTGTTCTGGCTTCCTTTTTTGCTATCGCTTTAAGATTTTCGCATTCATAATTTTATTAGAGGCATGAAAAAAAGTCTTTGGGCATGAACGCTCTTCAATCTTCTGTTTTATTGCAGTTTTTAGCGTTTTAGCTGTTGGCTTTCCGGCTTTTCATTTATTTGCCATGACACAGAATTTTTGCTTTTTCCTTTTTGCATTTTACTTTGACGCCAACTTATTTATCTAACAAAAGGCTTTGCTGTTCTGTTTTTTTTTTTTATTATTATTCTGAACACATTCTTTGGAGCTTATCTGGTTAGGGGCAAGGCAAAAGCAAACGAAAAGTCAACAATTTTGCTGATAATGCATATATAAATACATATATATGTATAGCGAAGCTTTTTAATAGAAATATTGAAAAGTTGTTGCGGCACAAACTCGAATATGACGCAAGCCACGAAGCATTAACTAGACTTTAGTAAGTAACATTTATCACAGGGCCGTAAAGTAATTGAAAATTTCTATGTAGACAATAACTCAATGGATATTAAATTAATAAGGCCGTACTTAATTGAAAACAGGGGGTGCTGCTATAGTAGAAGCTTTATAGGAATTAATGAAGTTATCTTTGTGTTGTCGAAGAACATGCAGATCCTAGGCAAAGATGATATAATATAATCAATAATTTTTAATTTAATATTGTCGAACAATTTCATTAGGGCTTTCGCGTAAGTGCAGTTGCGCAAGTCCTCAAATGGAAAGCAGCTCAGATTGAGTGCTCTGCTGTGCATAAGAAACCTATTGTTGCCGAGTCTCTTGATATCTTTTTAATTCAATTGCTTTGATGGGATGCAATAATTAATTGCTGTATATTGTGTGTATAGCCTATAGTTGATGACGTAAAGTACATGTAGGATAAGAATTGCTTATCTTAAAGCGTTAATAATTACAGTTAACAGTTATCGTTTGCTTGTAAAGGAGATAAATAATAGAGCAGCTCTTTAGTATTCTAAAACTGTATATTTCTTGTAAGATAACGAATATTTTATGTTACGCATGGGACAGTTTCTATGTAGATATATAGATGTTACTTTATATTATAATAGCTTAACTTACCTGAACTTGAAACATGGTAATTGAATCGTCCAGCATTTGTATGCGCACTGTCAACTTCTTGCCGCCGCGATGCCTGGGCGTTGAGGGCGTGCCGTCCACGCCGCTGGGCGTGCTCAGCGAATGGGTCATGCGACCGCCGGCAACACCGCCCGGTCCGCCGCCCGAATTGCTTAGCTCATAATGGCGCCCACCACCACCACCACCGCCGCCACCTCCACCGCCCGTGGAGCGTGTTACTGTGCCCATGTCAGCCAGTGACATTTTGTAGACGAGAATTTTGGACTTGAACAGTTGCCGTTAGCCTTGTCTCTGCTGCACTTACTCTAAACTGTGCGGAATTGCATACACCATGCATAAGATTGCACGAATCTTGTCTTTTATAATTTTCGTTTGTAGTTATTGAAATGCTACGACTTGGAATGCTACTGGGATCGTTTTTAATATATCTTTCGCTTTAGTTCGATTTACTTCGGATTTGCCTCCCCCTTTTTTTGGTTTTCTTATAAAGCTGTGGATATTGTGGCACACTACGATTTGATTCGTTCGCTTCCAGAGAACAGAACAGAACAGAAAATCGAACAATTGGAATTAAAGTGGAAGCAACAACTTCATGCCCCACTCACTACACACATCTGCTTCACATTTGACTCAGTTCATCTAACATATATATCTTTTAAGTGGCCTTTGTTGCTGCTCTGTTCGATTCTTGTGTTTGGCATAATTTCATTTGCTGCTGCTCCTCTCAATTGAATTCTCGTTGCGTTTCGTTGTGGTTTCTTCATCAATATTTATAACGCGCATATGGACTCGATTTCCTCATCGTTCAAATGAATGTTGCTCCATTTTGCTGCAAGTAAAAAAAACATAGATAATATAGTTAAAAACGATCATAAGCCTCGAAAACCGTTGCGAGCTCATAAAAATTATGTTTGAGCGCTTTTATATGGCCTTATAGTCATCAACCGTTAAGCACTCGCAGCCTGATGTCAAATTTATGCAAAAATAAGCTCACACGCCTATTTTATTGCATATGCTTCAGAAACCATTCAAGCCACGCGAATGGAACTTGTCATATACATACA